TTTTTTTTTTTAAAAACGTTTTTTTTGCACTTCAGTATTTCTGTGTTGAAATAGAAAAATAAAAGAAAACTGAAATGAAATTAACTGAATTGAACTGAACTAAACTAAATTAAACTAAACTAAACTGAACTAAACTAAACTAAACTGAACTGAGCTGAAGCAATACATCAGCCTTTGTAGTCATCATTTTAGTTGTTTTTTATTTTTCCAAAAAAAAACTAGTCGGTAGATTTTTTAATTAATTTTTTTTTTTTACTTTTTTGATCATATTTATTTTCTTGTTTGTTTTTGATGTTGCACAAATTTTGAAAAATTTTTTACAAAAATAAAAGAAAATGACGCACACACTCACACACACAACCGCACAACCACAAAAATATAATGTTCCTTTAGACGTTCTTGAAAACCTGATCCATAAAAATGTTATGTAGTTGTGTGAACAAAAGCAGAATAACAGAAATTAGCTTTTATTTATAATTTTAAAGAATATTAGACATTTTCAATAACTTTCGCTATAGTAAATAATTACACACATCAACTGGCAGTCAACAGGTGAACAATCAAGAAGAAAAAAAAACGAGATTACTGTGGAATGATAATTAAACCTATGAGAAGTTTCAATCCTTTAACGAGATGTACCAAGGAAAGCATAGCAAGTAACATCACTGTTTGATGCTTGGCAGTACACATTTGTATGGGATACATATGAAAATTCAGACCTTGAGCAAATAACATTATATTTTCCTTTCAACTTCTCTTCGGCTACTTTCTGAATATTTCGTTTCGATGATGCTAGATCGTTGGTTAGATTCTGAAACAGATGCAAGATTAAAAATGTACTTCGAAAAATAACATTTCACCTAATTGTAATTTGAACACTATATTCTCGTAACAATGCAGCTTTATGACGTACTTCTTTCATGATTTCTCTCAGTGACTCGCTGTTGCAAGTTGGATCAACGTCATGTTCACTAATTGGAATGTTATGAAGTCCAATGTCTCTGTATACTCTTCTGGCAACCTTAGCCTTTCGAACCTTCTTTCTTAAGCGGTAGCGGCGTGAGCGATGACGACGTCTGTAGTCCTCACTCTCACCTGCTTCCTCTGAATATGCTGCATTTCCACCAACATTGTTGCTGGCTCCAGTGAATGAACATGAGGCCTCTTTACTGCAGTCATGACAACAATCATGATGAGCCAAAGGTTCTTCAGGCTAAAACAAGATTTTTCAACGTCAGAAATAGTAATTTTAAAAACTATTGCCATTGTCTTGTCAAAACTTACTGGGCATCCATTTTGAGCAGCAGGTTCTGGTCCTGGTGCCGGTGCCGGTGCTGGTGCTGG